TTCTGTGAAGTACACTCTTTGACCATTCTCTAAATGTACTGCTAATTGAACAACAGATGGATAACGCTCATGAACGTAGAAGCCCAGAATTTTCCAAACTGCTTCATTGCTACTAATATAACGACCCATTTGGTATTCTTGAATTTCATCATATGAATCATCGTTTTTTGCAAATCCAAAAGCTGCCATATCTGGACCTAATTATTAATGGTTTTTTTAATATACACATAATGCTTGTAATTTTATAAATACCTTTGTTTATGTAATTACATATGTATTTGATTTATTTTACTGAATTACAGTACTCAACGTTGATGTGTGCTCCAACAATTTTTGAAAGAAAGGCGAATACGGTACAACCCATCCATTATCAATCTCAATTGCTGTGTTTTTCTTTCTTATTATTGTTTCGTGACCTCCATCGTCAGGTGATCTTCTTCTGTACAATGGATAGCTATCAACTCCTGTTTGTGTTTCTTGAATCATTTCGCGAGGATATCTCTTTGTACAGAATCCATCTTTCATGCATGGTGAAGATTTATTCAACGATCCACATGGTCCATGAATCATATGCTTGCATACAATGTCGTGAAGTACTTTGTCAATTGATGGATCTGGAATCTCAGCTGATATTATATTGTCTATTTGGTCAGGTTTCAGTTTATCTTCAAACCAAATCAGTATATGAGCATGTGGTAGTCCTCTTTTCTGCCATTCTATGGTGTACATCCAACATCTCGTTTTCCCGTAAATATGATATTTCGTGATTAATTTCAATAGAATGTCCAATTTTTGTTTGAACACTCTAGCTACTATGTCAGGGCGATGAGCTGAGGATTGTCCTGGTTGCAACAATTCAGTTATCTCAGTCCAATTTGGATTACATGTAAATGTGATGAACAAATCTGGACGTCCGTATTTTCGAATATATGTCATCCCGTCTTGAGCATATTCATGCATATGCCTTGGACTTCCAGTGAAAGTTGATGGGAGTATAACCATTTGTCCTAAATTTGCTGTTTTCCCATCTTTGGCAATAGCATCTCTTAAGTGGATATAGTTATCTACACGCAACTTCTTTTGATTCAGTCTTATGTACAACAATCGTTCACTTTCGATTTTTGCATACATATCGACCAAATATTGTTGAAATAATCGTTGAAATTTCAGTAGATGATTTTCCGCATTTTCTCTTATCATCAATCGATAGATGAAATCTGAATTAAAAACAACATTATGTCAAACATTTATTATTAAATAAAAAATGAATTAAATACTTTTTTGCTGTTGCAATGCGTGTTGTTGGATTTGTTTCCTTCAGATTGAAATGATAACCATCCTCCCCTTTTGGAAATAAAATCGGATATTGGAGGGCATCATACGATCTGTGAGTCTCAGTGACACGTTTTAATGATGCATCTCTTTTTTGGATTATGATGTCACGACTTTCAAATTCAGTTCCAACCATTACAATAGCAACCTCATTTATAGTTGGGGCATTGAATCTTCCCTCATGTTCACCTGCTGGCATCTTATCTGGTTTAATTATCACTTGATAATCATCGGAGGGCATTAGATCCACAACCCCTGCACCACACTAACAAAACAAAGTAAAACACGAATTTGCGATGAGCGCATTCAGTGAAGTTCATTTCAATTCTTTTCGTCGTTAGACGCACTCATGAACGCGACGAATCGAACGCATCAACAATGTTCCGTAATGAAAGAAACATTTTTTAATTATAAAATTGATGTTTATCACGTGCTATGCTCTCACAAAAATCAATTTTGCACATTCGTGACATTTTTATTTTTTTGTCTACTTTATTAACAAATATAAAAAAGATTCAATAATACATTGAACGATCTGTGTCACAACTTTTGACACTTGTCTCGTAGCGCTAGAAGTGAGCTGTCAGACGCTTAGATGCAGGACCTTCGATTAGATCCAAAGATGTTTTGAACAATTTAATCAATTGGTTATGTTCGTCGAACATCATTTGCAGCTGTGATACTATTTCACGTTTAATTCCGCTCATTATAGTACAACGATTTTCTATCTCCAAATTTTTGTCACCGATAAAGTAAATTTGCAAAAATTTTGAACTTTCATTAGTTGGTGGAAGAAGGGAACCTATTTGGTGATAAACCTGTACTTGAACTTTGAAAGTTGGCATGAAACCTGCATATTTTATCACATTTGTAGCACCGAAAGATGTCATTTGAAAGCATGAATTATATTGCCTTATGTGTTTCAAGAAATGTTTTGATAACGATGTTGTACCTGGTATTTTTAAATAAGTAATTTTAAAAATATATTTCCATAAAAAAATTAAAAATGACTACCAGATAAATACGCAAACAGCGGTTCAGGTTGTTGATTTAAAGGTTCCAGATGAACTTTCCCATTTGAATAACATAATCCAGATGATTCATCTTGGAATTTCAAAGCTCTGTAATACACGCATACAAATTCCATTTTTCCTATCAAAACTTGGGTATGTGTTTCATAATGTATTGAGGGGTCATAGTTGAATGCTTCGCATTTCCAAGTTTTGAAACTCTTTTTTTGTGTTTCAATTTTTCGAAGCCGATCAAGTTCATTTTGATTTTTTCTCTTTTCATCGTTTCTGTTTCTCCTTGCTTTTTTCTTTTGTACACTATCTGATTCACGACGAAAATCACTTTGCCTGATACTTTCTTCCATTCTTGCTACCTTAGTGCTCAAACAAACGATCAGATTCACGCCTCTTTCTTTTTAAATATGCTGATTCGTTTGCCCTTGCATTTTGTTTCCTCAAACGATCTGTCTCCCGATGCAAATCCTTTTTGGTATGCAAGCTTTTTTTAATTTTTTTGTTTAGTGCCGTAGTTTTTCGTGTCATTTTTTTTCTTTAGATTGATCACAATAAAATTGTGTATACTGTATGCTATGGTCAAAATATATGAGTAAAATAATTGTTTTTTTCATACATGCAAGAAAACTGTACATTTTCTTTATTTCAAAATGAGTACTTTGTCGTGTTGTTATAACAACAATAACTATTTAGAAACCAATAATACCGTTTTGTGTCTGGTCGTTTTTAAAGCAGAGTTTCAAGCTTAAACAATTCTTTCCAAACCAATCTACTTGTTTCTTTTCTCCATTTTAAGTCTCTTTCATTCAAAACAAAGACCATTGCAAATTTTATCATAAAAATTAAAGGGCTAGCATATCCGCTAGGTATCGTTTTAGTCGGTTGATATTGAACCGAAAAAAATGTTCTCAGTGCTTTCACCGCTTCAAACAAAACCGTTATGAATCTGATTTTTTCAAAACAAAATAATCCAAAAATATTTTAAAATAAAAAAAAATATAGAAAAAAGTTGTAAATTCAATTTCACTGCAAACAATTCCCACTTGAAATTTGAAACAAAAACACACTTTTCACTTGTCAATATGGCGAATGGGTGTTGTAACGGATTTTCGTTAGATGTCGCTGTTAGTTTCGAAGTTTCAAACTTCAAATGGGAATCGTTTGCAGTAGAATAATTGTTGTTTTTCTAAGTTTTATTGATGCAAATAATTTTTTTTAAACTGTGTGTTGAGAAATTGAATTTACAATTTTATTTTACCTTTTTTTTATTCGAAGATGTTTTTTATTAAAAACAAGTCAGATTCATAACGGATTTGTTTGCGGCGATGGTAGCGATTCAAGCGGCATATGAACTCTACTAAAGCGGCCTTTTAAATTTTATGACAAATTTCATAGTTCATA